TACTTATAAACCTTTCTTAAGAATCACTATCTATTAAAAAACCGCATCAAAATTCATTGCGTACTTTTAAAGATCCAACCATACATAGGGGACAGACAGACGGCGGATAGCGACTTTGTTTTATACTATTTAGTAATGTGCAAGTTTGTCAGAGTTTTTAAATTTGTTGCTTTTTCAACCAAAAATTTCTACCTAAATGATAATTTTTTGGTAACAAGATAGTATAAATTTACAAGTAGTGAGAAGTAACATAAGGTTATTTTAATCTAATTACGCAAGCGTACCCGATGACAGAAACTAGTAAAGAATATATCAACCGTCATCCAACATCTAACATCCACAACATCCAAGGCATCATCCATCCCACTTATAAGTAATTTGTTTCAGTTAACTTTAACAACTTGATCAGTAAGATAACAGTTACCTATCTATACATTTGCAAATGTAGCAAATTATTTGCTGACGCCATTTTATTATCAACATCAATTTGCTTAACTTACAAGAAGGTGATAATCTTAATCTTAATATTATGCGCAGGAATTGATTAAGAAATTGTGGTTATATTTACTTGTTGAATATATTATTGAATAGAACTAGACAACAAGATACAGTACCTTTTATAGGACTGTATAAGAGTTTATAGTGAAGCCACGGTAGTAAAAATAATGTTTGTAATATAATAAGAGGCAAACGAGCAGACGCATCACCTGATTGTTATAAAAAACCTAATCCTTTTTGTAATATAAGTACCTAATTGTCGTGCGGTCAATGTGTGTGTAAAGTGAACAGAGGAAAATGTCACGCTGAATATTAAAAAAAAAAAACAAAATATAACATCACCCTTATTTATGTTTTCAAGCAGATGTTGTTCTTGAAAATGGCATCGTATAACTCATAACCATAACGAATAAAAAAGATTTTACGAAAAGTCTAAAAATATAAGATGTACCTACATATAAAAAGGTTTTTTTTAATGGTGAAAGTCATCCAAAGACTTCTCCCGCCTTCTCTCACCCAATCCGAAACAGGAACCTACCGAAACTTCCCTGTTCGCGCCATAGCGTCTCTCAAACCACTCTTCAAAGACTTACTAACTTACTTACCGCTCCAATATGACAGCGAGCTCAATGTATAAAAAGCCTAGGACCCATGTTTTTCACCACAAAAAAAACAAGGTCACCAGAAGACCCAAAAATATGTCTTTGCTAATAAACAATGTAACATAGTACCCACTTTATACCAACAATAGATTTCCTATTGACCTCTAACATAATAATAATACCATTTTAGAAAAAAATAGTAGTCGTATCTTACCAAAGTAATGTTCAACAATACCTACCAGTCACCATTATAAGAAGACCTTTGTAAGATTTTTGCCCCGATACAAAATTTCCAATTTCCTTCTAACCGTGAGAGATCAACTTATAAAAGCCAAACATAATTCTATAACTACTTGAACAGACAACTTTGTTAGTGCGTAGGTGTAATTTATTGAAGTAATTTTTGTTTATTACGAAACAAAATGAACCTTATGGTTTCTTGTTTAAAGTTTGAATTTATACCTTACCTCAAATGTTACAAAGTTGATTATAAGTTGTATTGGGAGGTATAATAAGGTAAATATGTCTTATACAAGTTGTAACGATCGATTTTGTACATAAGTTTTAAGTAAGGACATTCACTATGTTATGTATTCGTAAAATTATAGTTATTGTCATGTAAATAGCTATAGTATAGTAATTTTATGATATTTTGATAGTATTTGTGTTGTTGAAGAATTTTACATTAATCTAGTAGATAAATATGTGTCAGTTACATTACTGTATAGTTAGTTAGATGTTTTGTCCTTTTAAAATATCACCTGTGGGATATCATCTAACAAATATTGGATACATTTTTATGCATAAAATCATCATAATTGTCTTTATCAACGGCCCATCTCACTTGATATTTTTATTATTTCTCAATGATGGGATACAATTTTTGGAAGATGTTCCCATATTTCAAATTTAGTTGTTTAGTAAAATTTTCTCCTTTTCTACATTGGTAGCAATAAGTCACCATTTATAAAAAAATCGTACAAAATACTTACTTTCTTTTTTTAGAGAGTGTCAGACTCTTACTGATTAAACCACCCCGTTCCTACTTCTGCACTTCAAGCCGGAGCTCTGGCAACCCGTTAAGTCCTTCGCGGCTCCGTGGTATAAAATACTTAGACCACACCCACACACATAGATATCAAATGTGGCATCCACGAGATGTTTATGAATAATAGACTTACTAACATTAATGCTGAATAACAGAGCCGTATTATCCCTAAGCCAATCTAGGCATGTGCCATCTAGGTCGCCAGGTTAAAGACGGCAAATTGGCTAAAAAGAGGTGGCCGCACCAAAAAAAAATTAGGCTTGCCTAGGAGTTCTCTTGGTTAAATACTCCCCTAAGTGATAAGCAAGCTTGGTTAGCGGATGCATTGTTCATACATCCATTCTACAAGGCTCAGAACTGATGAGAAATGTATGTTTCATTTATAACATGTGAAATAAACTTGCATTCAGAGGCATGCAGAAATCATTCTACATTAACAACTCATTACGGTTTACATTGAAAACAGTACTCATTAAAATTCAGCCAGGATCGGGACATTCAACCAAAAACGTTGATTGAATTGAAGTTTGAGTCAGCACGAGCTAATTGCGTGTCTGCATTTAAATTGTTATATGGATATGCACAAAGAGTGAACAACGGAGTACAGTGACGGATTAATCAAACGTGGGGCCCGTAGCAAAAGATATTGAGGGGCCCTCGATCTTGTTCATGATGAAGAGTTTTTTAAGGGTAAAATTAACAGACGAATCACCTGATGGAAAGCGAGGGGCATTGCCTATAGACATCCGCAACACCAGAGAAGTAACAAGTGCGTTGCTGGACTATGAGAGTTTTAATTTGAGGATTGGGGATTTGAGAATATGTGATAGTGCAGGGGAGTTAAGCATGGGTGTGGGTCATTCCCAAGCTTGTTATGGTGAGTTTTTTTTTATGGAATAGGAGGCAAACGAGCAGACGGATCACCTGATGGAAAGTGATCACCGCCGCTCATGGACACCCGCAACACCAAAGGAGTAACAGATGCGTTGCCGGCCTTTTAAAAAGGAATACGCTCTGTTCTTGAAGGTTTCAAGTTTGGCTATTCGGATGCCCTTTTGCGCGGGACCTATAGCAAATACAGCTTTGCCATTTGGGTAATCCGGCTCTGAATAAATAATATGTAATGTAAGTTCCTGGTACTCGTTCATTCGTTTCGTGTGGCGTCGGATTTCGTTCTTATGAAGAGATCAAAGGATATGAATAATTATGGTCGCTGACATTTTCTATAGAATTTGTCAACTTGTTAATTACTCAGTTATGATTCATTGCAAAATTTTTTGGTGTTAGTTAAGTAGGTATGTACTTACATGTGTATAAAGTTTATGACTTGAGTCACGATTTAGTTCGTATATAGAATTTAATAAAAGAGATTGTCTTCTTTGATTATCATTTTTATTATAGCTTTTAACCATAATATCTTGAGCACCATTTTTATATTGAATGTGCATTTTGCCTATATCTCTTTTCTGCACTAAGTACTTTCTAGCAATTTTAGAAGGCAAGTAGAGTAGAATATACTTTGTCACGTTCTCAGGGATTAAGAGATACCTCATAATAATCTTGTTCAACCGTCGCACTTATAAATGACCAGAATTAACACATAACACACCTTTTATCCCAGAAAGGATAGGCAGTGGTG